GGGGCTGGGGGGGCTTTAAGGTCCCTTCCCACTCAAACCATCCCGTGATTCTATAAGGACTTGCTCTTCCTGCTCCACTGTATCACCCTCTCCATCACAGAGCTCCAGGAGCGGTCCGAGAGCCTGTAGGTTACAATATTAGTATTCCTTTACCCCAAATTCATCGCTCTTTTCTAGCCAGTCATGATTTCCAGCTTAAAAGGACCTTTTGATCATGGCTCAAGCCCCCTGCCAGCCCCGAGCACCACCTCGGCCGTGCCATTTGTGCTTCCTGCTCCGCTTAAATGTGGGAACTGGCCCGTCCCTCTGTCAAAAACCCCAAGCTCAACTTCTCTAAGTCTTTTTTTTCCTTTGAACAAGTGCCCCAATCACACCCCGACGGACTCAAGTCTCCAAGAGGCTCATTTACATCTTTTCCTGCCACGGCTCCGGCCTGGCCCCGTGCCCAAACCATGCACTACCTCCAAATTAATCCCTTTCTCTGGGGCCCAAGCACAATTTCAGCTTTGCTGCCCCGTTTCTGAGCACTTTGCAGAGAGTACAGGCACACGCTGCCACCAGCACATGCGTCCCCCGTCCCCAGAACCACAGAGCGGGCGTCGTGCGAAACACCCACCAGACCTCCGGGAGCAAGCAGGAGGCAGGAGCAGCTGAAATTCTTTTACTAGTCCCAAACTCGGAGAGACGCCTGGGAACAGAGGAATTACGCGGGAGGCGTGTCTAGATCCCGGCAGTCGCTCACCTTGATGATGGGTGGAGCTATGGCCAGGTATTTGTCTCCGTTGTGATAGGTGATAGACTCCTGCCCGATGATGATGGCACCTCCAAAAGGCTCCGGCACTGCGCCGAGGGGGGAGAAGACAAACGGCTTATCAGCGATCCCGTGCAGCAGGAGGGGTGTCCAGCCGCCGGAGAGAAACGGGAGGGAAGATCTTTAGGAGAGAAGGACCAACCTGCGATGACCATGGAGGCTTCGGCCTCTACGTTCTCCTGTTTCCACGGGCCTTTGTTAAACTCCTTCTCGCGCAGGGACACCTCGTACGTCTTGACGTGGCGACCCTGAGGGTCCTGAAAGAGAAGCCACGGGTGATCCCTGTGCCAAAAAGCCACTCTCAGAACCTGTTTTTGCAAGACAAGTGATTTTTCTGAGACTCTCATTCATCTGAGGCGCAGCTCTACAAATCCGGGCCGGAGCGGCGCTCCGTATACCGTCGCCACCTCCGGCTCCAGCACGGCGTTCAGGAATGGGGCTCTGCTGTAGCGGTGCAGAGCAGCCGCACTCCCACCTCGACGCTCCTCAGGCTTTGCAGCCAGGTTTCCTCAGGAAACATACTCTGCTCATCGAATATCCCTCCCCCAAACCCCGATGGCTCCACCATTCCAGTAATTCCTAACCCAGTGGGGAGTTTCAACCAAACCCGATGCTCACAGAGGTTTTCCCAGGCAGGGAATCCACGCAGGCTTCGCCCGAAATACGTGGTGGGTGGGGAAGAAGCCCCCAAATCAGCACCTTTGTAGGGGAAAGGTGGTCTGTGCCCGCAAGCGCTCAGGGAGCCGCACGGGGAGAAGAGGCGGGAGCCCCCAGCGCACCCAGAGGGCTTCGAACATACAATTTCACGGCTCAAAAGCTGAAAAAGGCCCTAAATCACAGGGAAACGGGTTTCTTCAGGCACATTCGTGGAACTACTTAAAAAAATGGAGCTGTTCACCTTATTTACTACACCTTACCGCTTTCCAGATCGGGGTTTAAGGGTGGTTTTCCCCTCCCTGGAGCTGTCAGCTCCGTCAACGAACACCGGCAGGAAAACTGGGCACCTCCTGGCTCACCCCTCGCAGCCTCCGGGTGATTTTACCCCCCCACCACAGCAGCTCTCAAGCCTTTTGACTTTATTTTCTACAAACTTCCCCTTTTTGGGGTATTTTCCTCTGATTGCCATTAATAAACTGCAAGGGACTCAAAGCAGCAGCTCGGGAACGTCCCCCTCCCCACGCACACGCGGGTCAGACCCCCAGGGATCAGAACAAAGCCGGAGCCCTGCGTAAGGCCTAAAGCGTCGGAGAGAACCTGCATCTCGCTCCTGCTGCGAGGATAAAATCCGCACTGAGAGCGTTAGACACGGAGCAAGGCATGAATTTACCCTGCGTCCATCCGACACCCGTTTATAACGAACAAATCATTAACAGATCGGCTCCGTTTCACCTCTAACGAAGCCAGATCTCCAGGTAGGACCTTGCTGACTACTCGGGGTGACCAAGCTCCTCCTTCACGTCGCTCTCGAGCAGCGAGCGGAAGCTGCCGCGCTCCTGCCCGGAGCCCGTTGAAGAGTTTGTCCAAATCGCCATCCCCCCTGTGCCTCAGTTTCCCCACTCCTGATCAAACTCACGGGGGGACCCGGTGCTTTGCAGAGCGGCAGGGGGGC